AGAAGGTGTCCCATACATATTTTACAGGATTTGGATAAATCTCTACACATGAGGGTTAACCTGGAAATGGTGGGCCACAGTTTTAGATTTCTAGACTCCTGCTAGGTACTTCCTTTCACAGGCAATTCTAAGGTCCCATCCTTGTCTGGGTGCATTCCATCAAGTTCTTTCAGATGAGTTCTGCCTTGTGATTACTGTTAAGATAACTTTGAGCCAAATGGATGAAGTGATCAGATACCCCAAGCATACCCTCTGTGTTCTGGTGTTCTTTCCATGCTGCACTGACATAAGCCACTTGTGGCTTTGAGTAGTCTCCAGGGAAGCTGCCCATGGGAAGGGCCTTCTGTTGGCCACAGGCACATTTCTCATATTTAACTTGATGTCTTTAATGTAGGCCTACGAAGTTAGTCTGGACAGTTTCAACCTTTTCTTTACCAAGTGACCCAGTCACCATGCGATGCTGTCAAAAACAATATGAATTCATGGGTCAGTTGTAGGTAGTAGAATTCCAGTACCAGTCCTCCATCAACAAGCTCCTGTTGACTGCTACATAGTTTTGAGGCCCTTGGAGGTGGACCCCTCCAGTGCCTCCCTTGTCTCTTCCCTTGATGCAAGTGTGGTCATTTGTCTACCGTTTTTGAGTTTTAAGTCTGCTTCACCTACAGGAGAACCCTGATTTTTGTGGCATCACTAGCCCTGAGATTTTATGTTATTAAGCATTTTAAATTGGTCCTCAATGCCCCAGTTCTGCTGTTAGCTAGAAGATATCTCTATACCTTCACCACATGGAGTAAGTTTCTTCTCATCTCTGTGTACCACTGTCTAGCAGTCAAGTGTCCATGTTAAATCATATTGTAGTTAGGGGTCAACGAGATGCCTGATTATAGTCTAAGTGCTATCTTTTGCAGGACAACCCAGGCTGCCCCAAATTCAGTTGTTAACAGTTTCCTAGACCAACCCCTACAATGTCATATTGGCATCCAGTCGAGTACTGTCCAACCTAGAAAATTCTCAGCTGTGTGCTGTCATTTCCAACAAGGTTAAAGGATCAGGTTTTCTTTTCATGCCCCATCCCCACACAGTGGTGCACACTATGCACACTCCTTCTCTTCTGGTGGGCCCACAAAGTGTTAAGGACTGTTGGATGTCAGGTTATATAAAAGTAAAGGATCAATGAGAGAGTCCACGCTCCAGGAACTTGGGCTAATGGATCCCTTTCCTACCTCGCCAGTGTTCCATCTCTCACCTCCCTGGAGAACATCTGCTCCTGCTTCCCATCCAGCATGAGCTGCTCCTCTGACTGCCTTTCTCTTCTCCCTTCATTTCAGACTTGTGTAGTGTTTGGGATTAGAGAAACCAGCTCTGTTTACTGCCCGTGAATATTTCTGACCTGCGTTAGACTGTGGTTTCTTGAATTTTTTTTGTGCTTTTGTGAGTTTAGGGAGAGGAAAATGTCCTGTGTCGAATGAGTGGGGGGAAAAAGAAGAGGAGGGAATTGCGCAGAAAACAGAATAATACTTTGAAATGTAACCTCACCATATACCATGTATAATTAGAATCTTTTACTCTGGTTTGGAGTAATTTAAACAGCATTATTTTGGGAGTTTAATTATAAGAATAATGGCTTGAGGTCTGTTTTATCTGTGGTTAAGGTGCACGGGTAAGTAGCTTTTAGCATGGTCTAAACACTTATATCGGGGCACTTGTGTGGTGCAGTCGGTTAGGCGTCTGATTCTTGGTTTCGGCTCAGGTTGCGATCTCAGGGTGGTGAGATTGACCTCCACATTGGGTTCTGCCCGTGGTGTGAAGGTTGCTTGAGATTCTCTCCCCTGCTTCCTCTGCCCCTCCTGCTTGTTCACTCACTCTCTCTCTCTCTCTAAAATAAATCTTTTAAAAAAATAAAATAAAAAATTTCAAAAAAGCACTCACACCAAAATAGTTGGAAAACATCAAGGGAAGAATCATGTATAATCTGACATTCCAGTTCTTAAAATAAAAGTAGTAGAGTTTTCTCTAGATTTGTTGCATAAAATGCCATTCAGCTCTACTAGATAATGAGTTTGGGCAGATACTTTCTGATAAAATTGGCACAATTTATCTCTGCAAGTGATGATGTCTGACTTTGATTAAATGTTCATTCTTTATCGAATTCTGTGCTCTCAATTTCACAAGTATATATTATCTCACGTGGTCCTCAAAACAACTCTGAGTTACTTTATCTTATCTTGGTGGGTTGTAGAATCACCATTTTACAGATTAGGAAATTGAGCTTTCAGTTTGCTCAGGGTCATACAGCTGTTAAATGGTGAGATTGAAACAAAGGCCTTTGTGACCCTAGAGGCCCTACTCCTGGACCCACATCACACCTTCTTTGTAGAAAAGATCCATAGGGAAGCAAGAGCCCAGGCTGACTCAAGACCCTGGCTTCACCACAGCCAATCTTGAGTCTGAACTCAGCTTGAGGACATAAGATATACCAAAGCCATGCTGAGATACTTCCCTGAACTTGGAGACATCCTCTGGAGGGGATGGACCCTTGAGGAATTAAGATAAAAATCTCTCTTTTGTGTGTATGTGCATTTGTGTATGGATGTTTAAGTAGGAATGTTCCAGCAAAGGTGCTGCTGATCCTATTCTTTTTTTTTCTTTGAAATATTTTAATTCTTTATTTTTGGATAGATAATATATTCACAGGAGTTAAAAACCAAACGGTATGAGGTCTGCCTTCTACCCCTTCAGCCCATTTTGTACCTCATTCCCTTACCCATGGATATCTTTTCAGAATTTGTTTTGTGCTAATATAAATAAATGCAAATTTATATTCTCATTCCTTCCCTCCTTTTTTATATAAAAGTCATTTTAAAAATTATGTAACTTCCTTTGCTTTATTCACATAGAGATTTATCTTGGATACCTTTCCATATCAGCACATGGAGAACTTCCTCATTCTTACTTAAAATAGCATAATATTTCATGGTTTAGATGTATTATCATTTATTAACCAGTCCACTTTTATTAGACATTTGGCTTGTTTCCAATCTTTTGCTGTTACTAACTGATGCAATGAATGACCTTGAATCTGTCATTCTGCATATGTGCATGTGTATCTATAGGATGAGTTTCTAAGAGTAGCATTGCTAGGTTAAAAAATAGGCATTTATACTTTCTCCTAATAGTGCCAAATTGGCATTACTAAGGGTTATGATCATTTGCACTCCCACCAGCAATATATGAGTTTGCCACAGTCTTCTCAACACATTTTTGGATTTAGGCCGTCGGACTGATAAAAATGTTTGGACTCTAGCACATCCACTGCAATAAAATATTGTAAATTTCTTACTATGATTAAAGGTAAGCAACTTTTCATACATTTAAGAACCATTCGTATTTCCTTTCCTATGAAATTTGCCCATGCTTTTCATGGCTTATAGGTCTTCTTATCAATTTCTTAGAACTCTTTATATATTAAGGAGAGTAGCACTTGTCTGTCGTATGAATTGAACATATTTTTTCCTGTATGTCATTTTTTACTTTTTAATTTTTTCCTCTTGATTTTCATGTGGTTACATTTGTTAGTCTTCTCTTACATCTTTTGTATTTTAAGTCAAAGTTAGAAAGTCCTTTCCCACTCCAAGGCTAGAAAAGTGTTCTCTCTGTTGTCATCTAATACTTTCATGGTTCTGTTTTTCTTTTCTTTTCTTTTTTTCTGTTTTTCTTATTTAAATTTGAGATCTACTTGGAATTTATCTTGGTTTATAGTGTAATGTTTGGATCCAACTTCTTTCTCCCAGGTGGCTATTTAGTTGTATCACACCATTTTTTGAAGAACTGCTGGTAATTCAGTGCCCACTGGTTTGAGATGCCACCTTTATCATATACTATATGTCTTAAAAATAAATATTTTATATTCTAAATATATATATATATGTTTGTATTCTAAAATGACTTTAGAATGCTAGAAGAAAGTTTGAATTTTCCTGTTGCAGGCTTAAAGGATTTCTTTTTTGTGATAAAACCTATATAATGTAAAATTTACCATTTTAATCATTTTTAAGTGTGAAGTTCAGTGACATTGTTGTGCAACCATCACCACCATCCATCTCCAGAACTATTTCATCTTCCCACTCTATGACTTTGACTCAAATACACTGTTCATTTTATGGGATGCCATACATTTGTAAGACGTATGCTGATTTCAGAGATGTTAAAATGTGGGAGAGTGTACATCTGAGAATTTACAAAATACAGTTCTAAGTTCCTAACTGAATTTGATGTATTTCTGGATGTTTTGCTGTATTCCATTGGTTTGCTTCTTCATGTGTCAGTGTCACATTGTTTTAATTATTAAAGATTTAGATTATCTTTTAATATATAATAGAGCTCATTTCCTTTCACTAGTTTTTTTTTTTTTTTTCAGAACACTTCTTTTTCCAACTATTCTTACCTATCTGTCCAGATAAATGAGGCAACTTTTCCCTGGCTATTGTAGATCTTCTTTCCTTTCCTCTTTCTATCTGTATTCCACTTAAATTGTAAAGACTTGCATACAGAAGACCTTGTTATGCCTGAAGATCAGCTATAAGTCCTGGTTCAGAGTAGCTTCTCTGAATGTTTGTATATCTTCTTGACTTTTCTTCTACTGGGTTTTTATTTCAGAATTGCCATAGAAGGTAGTCCTTTCCTGATCTGCATTGTTGCTATAAAAAGGAGATGCACTTATGAACATTCTTAGAATCATTTACTCCTTTTATATCTTGCACATAGAATGTTAGCCCTTTTCAGCAAAGTAAGCATTGTTCTTATAATGATGAAAAATCTTAAATGTTTGCCACTGTATCAGGGTTTAATGTGGTTCACTAATGCATTTACCCTTAGTACAGGTTTGTTGTTTTGCCAAGTATTCCTATTAAATATTTAGCGTTTGTCATATTGTTTTATTAGAACTTGGCTTTATTTGCATTTATAGATTATAAACTCATTTCTTTTTTTCTTGTACTGAAGAACCCATTGTAAGAGCCAGTAAATCCTGTGGAAAATGGCCTTCAGTGATCTTACATCAAGAACCGTGCGTCTTTATGATAATTGGATCAAAGATGCTGGTAAGTAACCAAACTTCCTACTTAAGGCACATCTTTTCTTTTTATGTCCGATTCCAATATTTAATAGGATTTCACTGAAACAGAATGAGAGACTGCAAGTTAACACTCCCTCATAGACACCTCAGATATTAATTTTTATTACTAGTTAACAAAGGGGAAGTATCAAATTTCTCATTACAAATATGTACAAAGATAGAGCTACACAGATGTTTATTATGATGTTTATAATAATGAAAATAGCTTTAATAGCCAGTGAAGGAAATTGGTTAATAGATGGTGGTACATTCCAACTCAGTAGTCATTAAAAGTGATTTTTGGAGGCACAGCGCTCTTAGGCTTGCTTCTGCCCTAATGCTCCTAAGGGAAATAGCAGTTAATGCCAACAGTGATGATTCTTGAATGGGAGGGGCTGCACCCTCAGGGGTGTATCAGAAAGGGAGCATTTCATAGGGCATCCCTAAGTAATTCTGAAATGTCTGCCTTCTTGCTGTGCCCATTAAAAAGAAAATCAGTATTCTAGGAACATTTAATGCCAAATCAGGTTTAAATACATTAAATGAAAAGCAGGTTATAAAACACCACATACATTACTTTTGTGAGAGCCATTGTCTCTGTGTGATAGGATTATGTGTAATTTCTGTTTACTTATCTATATCTATTTTTTTTTAATACCACTCAAATGTGTGTTGCTTTTATAACCATCACAGAACATTTTAAAAATGTAACAAAGATGGGACTCCTGGGTGGCTCAGTTGATTGAGCATCCACCTCTTGATTTCAGCTCAGGTCATGATCTCAGGGTCATGAGATTTAGCCCTTCATTGGGCTCTGTGCCAGGCTCCCCGCGGAGCCAGCTTAAGATTCTCTCTCCCTCTCCCTTTGCCCCTCCCCCATATATATATATGAGAAAGGTAAAACAATTTTTTTAAAGATTTTTTTTTATTTGTGAGAGAGACAGAGAGTAAGAGAGAACACTAGTGGGGTGGGGGCGGAGGGAGAAGCAGACTCCCTGCTAAGCAGGGAATCCAATCCAGGGCTCCATCCTGGGACTCTGGGATCATGACCTGAGCTGAAGGCAGACGCTTATCTGACTGAGCCACCCAGGCGCCCCTATATATATGACAAGGGTAAAACAATTTTTAAATAAACAAGGAGTCAGAGTGTTGTAGAGCTGAGGCAGACCTCATCAAAGATGGTATCATCAAAGCTAACTCCTCATTTTAGAATTAAAGACTGAGGCTCAGAGATGTGACCTTGTTCAGAATGTGGCTAGTTGTTGGCAGGAAAGATTAGAACCTATGTTTCCTGATTTTGATTAGATTTCTGGTATTTCACATTTGTTGAATTGTTTTACACATATTCGTCAGCATCACCACATCAGCTTAGCTCTTCCCTATCAACCAGAAATCACGTGTCCTCCAAATTCAGGAAGAAAAAGTGCTATGTCTTGGCATTTAACACAACTGGAATTATTTTCCAATTTATGCAGATATCAGCAAAGATACACTGTGTCATCATTGCCGTCTTTCTTAGGAGACTGCTAAAGACCAATTTTATTTCACTAAAAAATGTCCCAACAGATTTGCCCTGGAAGAGCACCGAGGGTTTTTTTAGTAGCCCGTAAATAGTGAAGCTTCTATCTGGTAGGGAAATGGAGAATGACTGTTCCCATGTTTCTTCCTTTTTTTCTTAGTTTTTCAACTTATGTAATGATGCTAAGAACATGTACATTTCTCTAGAGGTCCGCCTTCTCTGAAGGTTTACAGTAGTTCTCATAAATTCAGTATTTAACTTAAATACTGTTTGTTTTAATGGCTTTCACTTTTTTGTATTTTTAAACATATTAATATTTTAATTGCTTTTCAAATAGAGGTATGCCTTGCTACCTGAAATGTCATGATTTGAACTTGGGAGCCAAGTAGATCTGGTTGCATGTTTTGAAATGGACCCGTTTGGAAGCACAGGTCCCTTGCTATTCACTATACCAAATGCAGGAACTCAAGAGAGGCAGATAATCAGTATCCTAACTCAAGAGCCAAATTGATTTAGATGATGATTAATATCTGTATAGAGCTGGAAGTATAAGATGTTTTTAAATGAACAACTTCTGATTTCTACTTCCACTGTTATCCATGTAATGACTCTCTGCTTTTTATTAGGAATACTTATATTGAAAAGTTGAGCAATATTAGGTCAGAAAAAGGAATGATGAAGGGCTGGAGGTGGTTAGGGAGAGACAAAGGGAGCCCCCGGGACAGCACTGCAAACAGTACAGGGAAAGTGAGCGAGCGGGGCAGGCAGTGCTACATCTCTGTTATGCTAATTTGAAGTCATGAGAGAGGGGAGAGGGTACAGGGATGTATAATGAGAAGACCTAGATTTCAGTTAGACCATTTCGATGGACTGGCTAGGTGGTCTTGAACTAATTATTGTCTGTGTTAAAAAGGCATTTCTTTTTCAGGAAAACAGAGGTGAGGATGGTACCAATATGCATGAAAGTGCTCTGTGACTTAGGAAGTAATCCAACACAGATGGTGGTAGTTGTTACAGATGATGGAAAGAGTGCTGTCATCTGAAAATACTTTTAACATAGCATATGCTTTTTAAAAATGTCTATTCATATATATATAATTTTATTAAAATCGGGGTCTAGAGAGTTAAAATGTTTTGTGTTAGATTTACAACTTTGTGAGAACACTATCAGGTATAATAGGAGAGGTTTTTTTCCTTCTGCTCAGTGTGGTATTGATCTTGGAGAGCCATTAGAAATCACTCCTGGCCATCTTAGTCCAGTTTAATTTTGCTTACCCTGGGAGGGTCTGAACCCATGATCAAGGGCCAAGAATTTCAAGTGTATTCTTGGCTTTGGCCCTATTCCTCAGTAGCATTCGGGAAACTTACTCTTATTCATTGGTTTCCTGATTGCTGAAGAAGTAGTGGTCATACATAATTATTTCATGTGGAAAATTCCACAGTTACGGATTTAAATATGGTTTAATTAACACCTAAGCTATAAGAGGATTTATTATGATTCCTGGATATGAGATGTCAAATTTTGAAGTCATGCTCTAGTAGCATTTTGGACTGTACAGAAATGGAAACTTGTTAATGTTTTAAAAGCAATTTTCCTTGTGTTTGGTTAGTAATAATAACTTTTCAAACCTAGTTATGATCTTTTTACAAGAAGATGGAGTATGAGTCGGGATGCTGCCATTCTGAACCTTTAGTACTTCACAAAGGGCTGGAGTCTTTATCTTGTTGGTGCACTGAATTTTAAAGGGTGTACTTGAGCTAGTATATGCTACTTAAGAGAACACCCTCTTACAAGTAGCTGATGGAAAAACTCGTTAAAATTCTATGTTTGTGGCACTTCTACTTTCCCTGTACTCTCTCTGGAACACTCATAGAAAAGAATTATTAGGCTAGCAATAAGTCAGAACTTTGGTAATGAGTGGGGTATGGACTTCAGACAACCTGCCTCCCCATCCTGTTATGTCATCTTGTCTCGACTCATGACACTTAAACCCAACCCTGATGCCAAATAGGAGGTACATGAAACACTCTTTCCTCAGCCTGTTGTGTCTGGGGAAAACAGAGCTCACCCCGAATCTTTTGTAATCTGTGGCATCACAGAGTGAGTCTTTATCACAGACTTTAAATGTAGTCTGATCACAGACTTTAAATATCATTGAGCAGGCCCTCCTACAACTTCCCTGATCAAGTCACCATCTATACCTGACTTGTAGACAGCTTGTCAGGGGGAGCCCCCTACCTCACGTAGAAGTAGGCTCTCTATTCAGAAAGGTATAACTGTTACTGAGCAAGAAGGCAGGCAACATGAACTGTTGTCACTCATTAACAATAGCCGGAGTCATGAACATCGTATTAAAGACTTAGAATTTCATTTGCTCATTAGGGAGAGCTGATGTAAGCAGAGGAATAATCTGGGCAGAGCTGTACTTTTAGAAAGTGAATTTGGAAGTTGTGTGGAAGACAAGATGTAGCAGATTGGATCAGGGTAGGGAAAACACATAAGAGACAACTGCAGAGCACCTAGTGAGGGATGCTGAGGCCCCCAGTGTAGGTGAGGGAACCCCTGGTTCTTAACTCTGACAGCTCATCGTGGTTACCTCAGCTTTTATGGATACCTGGGACCCATGCCCTAGAATTCTGATGCAGTTAGAACAGGGTCATTTTTGGACCATTTGATTTTTAAATACTGCAGAGTTGATTCTGCTATGCTGACAGAATTCACATCTGCTGTAATAGTACCAATGCATAATTACTGAGCCCTTAGGTTGTGCTGGGCTCTTTACATATAGTAACTCATTAAATCCCCTATGAGATACATGCTGCTTTATGCCCAATTCACAGATGGGGAAACCAAGCACAGAGAAGTGAAGTCAGTGGCCCCAGATCCCATGAGTCAGTGGGAGAGCCAGGATCAGAACCCAGGCCGGCTGATTGCAAAGCTTTGCTAAAATAGGATTTAAAAACAAACAAACAAACCTGATGTACTGTTTTATGAGAATAACATGAAATTAGCCAGCTTTTCCCAAAAGATACAGTGATATTTTCAAATTTATAGAACTCAGAAGTCACATGTAGGGTTTTAAAAGAAGGTGTATGCTTAAAATATTAAATTATGGGAAAAAAATATTTATTTTAAAGTTATTTTTTTCTGTTTCCTGAGCCAACCCAGCATGCTTTTCCTGGCTTGTTTTCTTTCTACTGCTACCAGAGGAAGAACAGAAAGATGATGTCATTTGATATTTTTTCCCCCTGCTGAGTCAATAAAAGAATAAAATAAAATATGTCTTTAATTCAGGAATTCCTTTAAGGACATACACCCAAAAAATCCCTAGTTTTCAGTCATACCCATGATGTCTGTTACGAACAGAAACATTTTAAATTGCTTAAAGAGGAGAAAAAAAATTAAAATCATCCATGCCATCACCATCCAAAGGTAACCATGTTAATTAACATCCTACCAGGGGTCTTCTTTGGTACTGGCTGAAAGTCCTTATTTTATTGGAAGTAGAAACTAGACATATTCATATGGCTTATGATGTTCCTGTATTCAGACTTCAGGTTACCCACTGATAGAAGAAATTCAACAAAGTTGGAGCAGTTCTGATTCTATCCCTTAGTCCCCATTTGTGTGACAACTTTTATTTCCTGTGACTTCCCTGGTGAGTTACCGGCCCGTGGCTAGTGCACCTTGTGGCCGTTGAAACTGCACATGGCGCCCAGATGTCCTGGGGAACGTGTGGAAGGGAAGGAGGGTACCTAATAGAAGCAATAAAAAATTTCAGTGCTGTGTACCTGGATCGCTGATTTTGAAACTTGTTCTGATTTCAAGCTGTGACAGTCTTAATACGAGGGGAAAAATTAATTTTGAGAACTTTGTATTTTTATAAATATCTGTCAGCAGACTTCTTTTGAATTTTCTATCTTGTGCAGGATACTTGACTAAAATTGTTCCTCCTAAGAGCATCAGTGACTTCCTTTTGTTCAAGCCAGTGTCACTTTTCAGACTACATTTTAACTTTCTCTCTCTGCTTCATTTTATCCTTTGACTCCTTCCAAAGAGTCACTCTTCCCTTAACCTCAGGATGGCTCACTTCCGTGGTTTTCCTTCTCTCTCTCCGGCCACTCCTTGGTTGGTTTTTTTTTTTTTTTTTTAAACAGTTTTCTCGTCTACCATCCCTCCTGCAAAGATTGAGTCCTCAAGATTCTGACTTAAACCACTTACTCTCCCTACTCTACCCACTTTCCTAAGCCACTTTCCTGGCTCTGTTGTTCACCTTTCATGTGATAAAGATCCCAAATATACATCTCTGTCCCAGATCTCTCTCCTGCTTCCACATTCAAATCTCCAGGTGCCTAGAGGGGTCTCCATAGACATGTTTGAGACGTGTAAGATGTTCGAAAACCTAAGCCATCTCTCCCTGACCAGTGTTGCTCCATATCCTGCATTTCTAGTCTCAGTGATAGTACAATTATCTAAACAAAAATCTCAGTTTTTCCTTAACTTCCACCTGTTCTCATTCTCTGTGTTTAAGCATTTACAAAATTTTATGTACTCTGCCTCCTTACTGTATCTCAAAATGATCAGATCCTATTTATCTTCATCACTACCTGATTTTTTAAATGTTAATTCCAGGATAATTAACATACAGTGTTATATTAGTGTCACGTGTACAATACAGTGACTCAACAATTATATACATTACTCAGTGCATACTCTGAATCCCCTATCACTACCTAATTTTTGTAACACTACCTAATTTTTAATGGCTTAACTTAAAGATTTATTTCAGCAGAGAGCTCTTTCCCAAACTCTGTTCCACAGTGTATTCTACACAATATCAGTTTGAGGAATGGCCAAATAAGTTTGAGGAACGTTGCATACCATCATTCTCATCTTGGCAATTCACAATGAACACAAAGCACGAAAATCCTGCAGAAAAACAGTTTGCTTGTTCAGCATTCTCATTAGCCTCACCCTGCTTTTTCTGTGGACAGATTTTAAATGTCTTGCTTCCATTGTATAGATTGGGCCAAGCTTGTATAGGATATGAGGTAAGGAACATGCTCATTTTTCTTCCAAATATTCATTTTTCCTATCAACATTTGTTGAATAATCTCTCCTTTCCTTGCTTGTTTATGGGTCTTCCTTTATCATATATTAAATTCCTAAATATCTTGGGGTCTGTTTTAGAGCTGACGTTTGGCTTTTTTATTTAGTTTTTCAAGATCTGCAACAAATAATACCTTATATGTTAAAAAAAAAAAAAGTAGGAAGGGAAAAATAAAGGGGGGGAAATTGGAGGGGGATACGAACCATGAGAGACTATGGACTCTGAGAAACAAACTGAGGGTTCTAGAGGGGAGGGGGGGATGGATTAGCCTAGTGATGCGTATTAAAGAGGGCAGGTATTGAATGGAGCACTGGGTGTTATACGCAAATAATTAATCATGGACTACTACATCAAAAAACTAATCATGTAATGTATGGTGATTAACATAACATAATAAAATTTAAAAAATTAAATAAATTACATTAAAATTTAAAAAAAGGATAGGGCATCTCTTGGTATTTTTGATGGAAACCGATCTGTATATAGAATACATCATCTTTCATAGCTAAAGCCATGCCTTAGTATACCCGAGTATCAGATATGAGCTCTGCAGCAATAAAATTGAGGCCAAGTGAGTCCTCAACCATGAAGTCTGTTGAAGAAATTTTTGCGCTGGGTAGGAAGTCAGACTTGAGGGGGTATTCAAAGTGTTTTGGTAATTGGTTACATCATTAGCAGTTTAAATGAGCAAGGGCTGTATTCCTCCCACCCCACTTTTCCAATCGTCAAAAGTGATGGTGTTTGGCAACGTAAGGTTAGTCAAGATTCAGTTTTCAGTCAGATATACTTAGAAAACTGTTCATACTTGTCTTCCTTTGTAATGCTCTGGTTTCAGGAGGCAATTTAGTAAAATTACACCTGAACTACTTAAGATTATAGAATTAATCATATCTTATTTTTTTATTGTGTCATTCTTTATTTTAATAATATTTTCAGGGGTGGCACAGTTGGTTGAGCATCCGACTCTTGGTTTTGGCTCAGATTGTTATTTCAGGCTCATGAGATTGAGCCCCGTGTGGGGCTCCACACGCTCAGCACAAAGTCTGCTTCAGATTCTCTCTCCCTCTGCCTCTCCCGCTCGTGCTCGCTCACTCTCTCTGTCTCTCTCAAATAAATAAATCTTTAAAAAATATTTTCAGACATTAAAACATAGCCATAATATTATAATCACACCATAATAAAACATCATCATCAAGAATTTAACCAGTATTTGGGACGCCTGGGTGGCTCAGTCAGTTAAGCGTCTGCCTTTGGCTCAGGTCATGATCCCAGGATCCTGGGATTGAGTCCCACATCAGGCTCCTTGCTGAGCAAGGAGCCTGCTTCTCCCTCTGCCTGCCTCTGTCTCTCTCTCTCATAAATAAATAAAAATCTAAAAAATAAATAAAAAAAAGAATTTAACCAGTATTCATATTTTCCCACGTATCTCATAAGAGTATTTTTAACTGCTAGTTTGGTCATTTTTTTATATTTGAGGCATTAAAATAATTACTCAAATGATTTATCCTTAATAATAGCCCATGTCAGAAATAATAACAATTTCGACTTTATTTTTTTTCCTTTTCTACTTGAACAACGTTCTAAGTATATTAAGAATACTTAGATTACATCAATTTTTCTATATGTCTCTACACATGGATCCTTTTTTTGTGGTCAAGTGGTCTTAAGAGTCTTCTGGGATAAGTCTGACATTTTTCCATTTTGAGATTTGTTGCTTCTTTCATCATGCTTATAGAATTTTTGTTTATCTTTGCAATACAAGAATTTTACCTACATGCAGCTAGATTTGCTTATTCATTAGTATTTACTTCCTGATACATGATAAGTACTTTGATATAAAGATTTAGTTTTGATTTTCATTTTTCAGAAAAATATTTTATGATCTATTTGAATATTTTTCTGTTTTTCTCTTCTATTTTACTTCTGTTCAGGAATACCTATTATATTTGCAAGTCCCCTGTTTATTTGGCATATATATTTTTTTCTCAAATACTTTTTAAAAAAATTCATTATTGAATAATTAACATACAATATTATATTAGCCTTAGGGGTACAAGATATTGTTTCAGCAATTCTGTACATTACTCAACACTCACCATAATTGTCACCATACAGTATTATTACAGCATTATTGACTCTATACCCTGTGCTGTGCTTTTCATTTCCAAGTCACATTTTATCTTGAGTTGCAATTTTTAATTGATGTAATTGGAATGAGCAGTGACCAGTGAATTTCTTCTTACATGGTTGTGAGGCTAATACAGTTTTTTTGTTGTGTTGTTTTGTTGTGCTCACATTGATTAGCCTATTTTGGACACCTAGAACCCATACTTTAGGTAGATGATGCTATGGTCCCTTTCAATTCTATGATTCTGTGATACAGTATATATGGAAATGTCCTAATTTCCTTGGGGGAAAGACGGGGGGAAAGCAAACACAGGCATATTTTTTATATAAAAGAATGTCTGGATAGAGAAACTCTAAAATGTTACTAGTGGTTATAGATGAATGGTGGAACTTTGCTGGCTGTCTTCTGTTCCCCAGATCCATTCTGCACCCTATGCCAGACCCTGGGGAATGACCAGTATAGACTGTAACTGTGGGCTTGCTCCCCTACCCTCTGGTTTCTGACTGGGTTCAGCCAATGGAGAGTCGTAGGAGATTGGAGAGAGAGTGGGGGGTGGTACTGAGATATTGATTACCCAGCCACTTACTTCCAGAATTGCCTTGTGCTGGCCCAGTCCCTCCACAGAAGGTCACAGTTCCTCTCCAGGAGGGTTTCTCCATTTGATTCCTGGTTTCTAGTAACCACTATGTCCCTGTGTCCTTTGAGGCCTGTGGTGATAAGAGCCCCACTCTTCCTAGCCCCATCACTGTCCGTGGTGATTTCCCTTTATCCTTCCCAAAGATAGTAGATCATTGACTGAATAGACTGCTGTCAACATTAGGATCTAGGTGCTTGCTTAAAGAAATGCTGGTTGCTGTCAGTTATTTCTTGGCTAGATGGATGTGCACTTACTTTTTGTTTTTAGATCCAAGAGTTGAAGACTGGTTCCTCATGTCCTCACCTCTGCCACAAACGATCATCCTGGGACTCTATGTCTATTTTGTCACTTCTCTAGGACCAAAGCTCATGGAGAATCGAAAGCCCTTTGAACTCAAGAAAGCGATGATAACATACAATTTTTCCATAGTTCTCTTTTCTGTGTATATGTGTTATGAGGTAAGTGTCTTCAGTATTCCTAATGGGAGAATTTTGCCTGAATCTTCCTGTTTTTCTGTCATTACGTTTCTTGTTATGATTATAATGGTAACGCTGAGATTTAAGGAATTTTAGAAATTTAGCTAAAATTCTTGCCAAAAAATTGTTATATATGGACCGGATATTGAACTATTTAGAGGATCTCAGTATAGTCTACCTCACAAGTAGTGAGAAAAATTAACATTAAGTCCAGGAACTTGCACACAGTTAATCTTAATAGATGATTGAATGAATCTGTGTTTTAAGGCAACTCATACATGGAGAAATTAAGTAACTTACTCGAAGTAACATAGCTGGTTATGGGAGGACTGATATTTGAATCCAGGTCTGTCTGACATTGGGAGCTCATCTTGACTCTGTAATGAGTTATCATCATCATGGTAGGAACCTTGGATGAGCTGTAAGATGGTAGACTGTTTAGGTTTGGTTTAGCTGGGCCTTGAGGGGACAGAGAATTTAGACTCATAGAAAGCAGTAGGTGAGGGAGCCTGTCCCTTGTCAGTAAGGGAGATGGGGATCTTCCAGGACCCAAGAGGAGACTCGTGGATTCTCTCTCACCCACTGTGCTGTTAACAATCTTCACCTAGCCTCACTTACCTGCTTTTCTGGGATTCCTTGCTTCTTTTCCAATACCGGCTGGCGTCCTCATCTTCTACTCCTTATTTACTTCTTTGCAGTATAGCTTGTGCTTCCTCATAACTGGAACTCTCGAGGGCCCACCATGACCCCTCTGGCCCCTCTTGACACTGTGACCTCTCCATGTGCATCCCTCCAACTTGATTCCGGCTCAGATCCACCTGATTGAGTCACCTTATTCTGCTGTAACCTCATGTCTCACCCGGCCCCCCCTCAAGTCTGGACTTACCTTGCTATCTTCTATTTCTCCTTTTATTACCCAAATTAACTGCAAGCTATCATACTATTCCTTCTGGATCATGAGTAACTGAAAGGGAAGGAGTAACAGTGGTGGGGAGCCAAAAAAAAAAAAAAAAATACATGCTCTTATCAAGTTATGACAGAGAGGAAATAGCCTGTAGGACCATGTTAAGCGCAGACCTAGAAGCCAGGAGACTATAATTAGTATCTGTTATGCTATTAACCAGCTGCCTGATTTTTGAGCAAGTTACTTAACTTCTCTGGGCCTTAGTTCTCCCATTTTATAGAATCAGGATTAAACCAAATTGTTTCTCACATCCCTTTATGCTCAGTGTCTGATTATGTCATTCAGTGTAATGTCCCTAAATATGTTTCTCAGGAGGGAATTTAATTATAGCCGGTAAATTTGGGTTCCTGTTTTAGCAAATACAATATAAAAGAAGTTGTGAAAATATCTGAATTTGGCAGTTTCTGTCTCTTATTAATCACTCATACTGGAGTTACTTATATGCCAGTGTTGGGGTTGATTACCTGCCAAATATAAATTATTGCTGTTCTTCTTGATAGCCTGAAATATAGAAATGTCAAAAGCTTCATAGACTATTAGAATGTTCTTAAACTTAATATCAGGAAAGCACTAATTTCCATTCTTTTTTTTTTTAAGTTTTTATTTATTTAACAGAGAGAGACACAGCAGAGAGGGAACACAAGCGGGGGAGTGGGAGGGGGAGAAGCAGGCTTCCCGCGGAGCAGGGAGCCCGATGTGGGGCTCGATCCCAGGACCCTGGGATCATGACCTGAGCCTAAGGCAGACGCTTAACGACTGAGCCACCCAGGCGCCCCTCCACTATCTCTTTAAACTAAGAGTTTTGGCAGCCAGTCAGCATGTCATCTCCAGGACACTGAACACATCACATGGTTTATTGGGTAGAGCACAATTGCATTAGATATACAGAGGAAACACCTCCACTTATGGATGTTAGGGAAAATATGAACAAGATGAAAGGGAAGTACGTAGACTAAAGGAACCCACAGGCCTTATTGTAAAGCAGTGGTTTTGAATGTGCTAGTTAATTGGCACCAGTCAGACATCAATAAAGAGAGACTCGTGAAGATCTCACAGAAGGCCATGTCACAGAGCTTTTCCTGTTCAGCTCAGTCCGTATTTGGGGTAGGGTAAAGTGGAGAACCAATCATCCCAGTTAAGTAAGTGGACCTTTGGTTTTACTTGCAGCAGTCAGTAGAGGTCTGAATGGAAGAGAATATGACGCTCACTGGCAGATCAGGATTTTGTAGAATCAGCTGTTTTTCTACCACATTCCCACATTCCTTTGAGAAATATTTGTTGACCTTGTTTTTGTAAGTCATTTTTCTTACCCATAAAATATGTCTTATACTTTCCTGAATCTTAAGATAATCTTTTTTAAGATTTCATCATTTATCAGGTTAACAGTGGGATTAAATATCTTGTGAGTCAAGCTAGGAGCTAGTATCAGGAAAGGATGGTGTGATTTTTGAATACCACAGTCTAAACAGTTGTTCTTTCTCTTTTGTTTCTTTTTGTTTTTCACCATCAAAATATCATTCTGATAAACCTCATAAATTTTTGCCTTTAAAAATTAATTTATGGTAAAGTTTTCATTTTAGCTTTAACAGTAATTAAAAATAGAAATTTAAAATGTGCACTAATGGCAGAAAATGATATAACCGTTATACTGAGAAAGAAGACATTCCGGGGAAGATGTTGGCATTTGTGAAAACAGGATGTCAAAGAAGAGCTGATCATATTGTCAGAACACTCAGTTAAGCCAACCATTTAATATATACATTAAATTAAAATTAGAGCCCTTAGCTCTTCATTTTCAGATACTGTTTTATTTTTTTTTTTACTTTTTTTGGAGTTTTTATTTGAATCAGATACTGTTTTAAAAGAACTTCCCACCATCATACTAAAAGAATGTCAATATAATCTTTGAGTTAAGGTTCAGATAACAACAATAGCCTCTTTGTTGTCACCACTAGTCTAAGGTCACTTTGTGGGTGTGCTGGAATTAAGGCATGCCAGATTGCACTCTTATTGTTAACATTTTTGTCTCTTACTTGTCACGTGAATCTAAACTGAACTAGTCTCTGAGTCTTGTGTTTGATCAATCTTGATTTTAAGAGCCATAGGCTACCACTTCACTTTACACGCACTAGCTAAGGGCAGGAAAACCCAGTGTGGCAGCCACTAATAGTACAGTAAGGAATTTTGGTTTGCCCATTTATTTATTGGCTGATGAAGAAGATTAGAAATTACCAGAAAAGACTGTTTTCAGACTCTGTTATTCGTGGGCATATATAGATACACATATATGTACATATACTGGCATATACCTACCAGTATTTGCTATCTATGCAAAACACTCTCAGCATTTTATTCTCTATGGACATTTGAGTCAGAACACAGTTGATACAAGTAATATATAGCTGTATGATTTTGAAAATTCCTGTTGTTTTATCAAGCCGAGTTCCCAGTTATGATTGTGCTAGCCTGCCTTTTCCTCCGCACTGCATGCTGAGTCAGCTGAGATTGTGGTAAAGAGACACAATCAAAGGTACCATTGTAGCTGTTGAGCAAATTCTTCCTTCTTTAATATACATGTGCTCTCTTACAGTTTGTGATGTCTGGCTGGGGCACAGGTTATTCATTTCGATGCGAAATTGTTGACTACTCACAGTCACCTTCAGCATTGAGGGTGAGTTTTTCTTTGGAAAAACTTGTAACCCAAATGTTAAAACTTTTAGACTTTGTTTTTTTTTTTTTTTAACACTTAATGTGAACTCAGAAGAAGTAAATGACGCAATTATCAAATTACATGGCCTGAGAGAAAAAAAGCTAAAAATTATCAGAAAGAATCAAATAAAGTCAGGGGCATAGTTTTCTGTTAAATGAAAATTGGTGCTTTTATTTTTAACTTCCTGGATTTAAAAATAAATTCATATCTTGTTCCTCAAAAAATTAAAAATAGAATTACCATATCATCTGGCAATTCCGTTTCTGGGTATATACCTAGAAGTAACTGAAAGCAGGGACTCAAAGAGATATTTGTATACCTGTATTCATAGCAGCATTATTCATAATAGCCAAAAAGTAGAGGAACCCAAATGTCCATGGACAGGTGAATGGATAAAGAAAATGTGGTATATTCATACAATGGAATACTATCAAGCCTTAGCAAGGAAGGAAATTCTGACATGTGCTGTAGTATGGATGAGCCTTGAGGACATTATGCTAACTGAAATCATCCAGGCACAAAAAAACAAATATTGTATGATTCTATTATATGGGGTATCTGGAGTAGACAGATTCAGGGACAGAAAGTAAAATGGTAGTTGTCAGGGGCCGGTGGGGAAGGGAGATCACGAGTTATTGTTTAATAGATACAGAGTCTCACTTCTGCAAGATGAAAAGAGTTCTACGGATGGATGGAGATAGTGGCACAACAGTGTCGATGTACTAAATGCCACCAAACCGAACACGTAGAAATGGTTACGATGGTAAATTGGGTTAAGTATATTTTGCCAAAATTAAAAAAATGAAATTTTCCTCCATATAAAAAATAAAATAAATTCGTATCTATGTGTGTTTCTGCAGATGGCACGCACCTGCTGGCTTTATTACTTCTCCAAATTTATTGAGCTATTAGATACTGTGAGTATGTGGTCACCACATTTGGTGAATGTTTGTTGTATCACTAGAAGCAATAAATTGCTAGAGTTCAGTTGTCTGATAACTCTAGTTATCTCTCCACTTCAGGCTGACCTCCTGTTATCTTTTACCTTTTATTATCAGTAGTTTTAGAGCATAGATAAGATAAGCATTTTTTTCAGTCTTTTGCAAATGCCAAAAGGTTTTCTTATGTATCTACCACCTGACTAAGATAAGCATGTAACTGTTGCTGCAAAACTGCATCTTTATGGAGATGGATGACAGGTGTTTGGGAAAGCAAGTTCACGAAGCAAAGAGCAGAGAACATTTTACTCTGGGTTCTTTCGGTATAAACCAAAGCACTATGTCATCCATATTCCTTTAAGAGGATAAGTGCTTCAAAATTCATAAACTTACATTAGGATGTTATCCCTGGGATATCAGTAATTTAGGTAATATCAAAACTAACTCCGGCTGCCTTTCTCAAGTTTATGTTTATTAGACCTTCTCTCTTTCAACTTAAGATCCTGTTGAGGATCAGCTTTGGATTTGGGTGATGGGCTCTGGGAGAAGCCAGTGTCATGGATTAGGGTCCTTGATGAGAGGAGAAAGGCGTATACTTCTGTTTTCGTAGTAGCCTAGGAAAGCTGGATATTTATCATATATTTGGGACATGTAGGTCTCAGATATCTGGAACCAGTTCTGGGTCTAAGACAGACCAGTGTCTTCTCTCTTCAGGGTACATATTCATTACATATTACAGAATACATATTTCTTTTCTTTCTGCTTAATTATTATTTCTTTATTTAAATTCAATGAATTAATATATAATGTATTACTAGTTTCAGAGGTAGAGGTCAGTGACAGACTACACATTTCTTGCCGCAAATCTCAACATGCTTCACCTTCTCAGCTGAATAATCACATAATGTTAGAATTGGAAAGGGCTTTAGTGAGCATAGAATACAGTGGTTCTCAAACTTGGGATTGCCTTAGAATCACCTAGAGGGCTTGTTAAACACGCAGACACCTGGACCCCACCCCTAGAGTTTCTGATTCAGTGTGTTGGGCTCAAGAAGTTGCATTTCTTTTAAGTTCTCAGGTGATGTTATTGCTGTTGGTCCAGGGTCCACACTTGGAGACCCCTGCTATAGTTCACTGGTTCTCAGCCATCATGGTACAGGAGTCTTAACTGCATTAGAAAAACCCCCAAAACCTGGGCCCCACCTCCAGAGATTTGGTGCCAGGTGGTCTACAGTTAGAGCCTAGGCATGGCTACTTTTATAAAGCTTCTTGGACACCGTAATATGCAGCCAGGGTTGTGAACCACTGATCTGGGCCAGAGTTCTCAATCTGAAAATAAATCGAAGCCAGGAAGGTAAGTAACTCACCCAGAGGAATGCCACTACTGCTTGGGACCAGGACCCCAGAGAGTTGGTTTGGGGCTTTTTCATTGCATGATGCTGCCATCTTCCATGTGCATAAGCAAATGCATTTTAGCTTCATTATTTCTGCTTTGCATGTTCTCATTTCCAGGTTCCATAAGGAAACTGTTGCTACCTCTATGTCCTTTTCTAAACCAATTTCTTAAATACCATTATGGATACTTTTGTTTGTGGTGCTCTGCTTAGTCCTATACTTAGAAGTCTGACTCATCACTGGTATTCTGAATTTTGAATATTTTTTGAACACTTAATTCTGCTTTTGAAATTGTTTGAAAAAAATATCCCCCTGCAAAAGCCTTCCTGTTCTCTTCTTTGTCTGTAGGGTTTCTGCAAACCACAGATACATTCAGTCTGGATGGTGCCTTTGTTCCTAGGCCACTTCTTTTCTCCCATCCTATTTCTCCAAATCCCCTCGAGTTTTTCCCTTTTCAGAAATCTTTCTTTACTAATAATATGCTAACTTTTGCTTTGTTGCAAGTCCTCTTTTCAGTTTGCTTCATCCCTTATCTAAATTAGTAGGATGTCTTAGCAATACAGAATGATTTCTGTCCTAAGAATTGAGACTCTGTGCTTTCCCATATACTTCAAAATCCACATGGATGTTTTCCTGCCAGTAACATTTCTTTCAGTAGTATTTGGCTATGTTCTTCACTTTCCATTTTTGATTTTCAAATCTGCATACATTTTCTTTAACACCTTTTTATTGATTCTCCCATGACTAGTCATCATACCTAAGTTCCTTCATACTAATTAGCTTTTCAGCTGCCCCTTGGAGAATCAGCTGCTTCTATGAGCATTCTCTCAGGCAGCCCTTTTAATGCAAATTATGATGTGAAATAGTTTGTACTTTGCCAGTATTTTTGTAGATAAATCAGTAGCTCAGTCATTGCATGATTTTCTATGAACTTGATTTTTTTAAAATTATTTCAGATCTTTTTTGTTCTGCGTAAGAAAAATAGCCAAGTGACTTTCCTGCATGTCTTCCATCATACCATCATGCCATGGACCTGGTGGTTTGGAGTCAAATTTGCCGCAGGTAGCCGAGGGAGAGTTGGGAACATGTGTTATAAACTATTACATTTCTGTATGTTGTAAACACAAATTCTGTCCTTAAATGTGATTTAGAAGAAACTCAAAACATCAAAGGATGACTTTGATCGAACGTCTGACTTTCATCATTACCTGAAACATAAATGTAAGACTTTAACCTAGATCCCTTCATTCTTTAGAGACACATGACTTTTGGGTACAGTCTTCTACCCATATCCTTTAGTTAGTTTGTTTGGATTTTACTCTTTTCCCATATAGTTCTATTAAATATCATTAAATAAATAAACAGTAAACAAATAATATGGTAGAAGCCTTAGTTTTATAGAAATATAGTTAGATATATATTCTTTATAGGTTTCCAGAAAGTTAGAATGTGTATCTCAAGTTCCAGTCTTTGCATTAAAAATTCCAATAACTGATACACACCTCATCCCCTACCAACTCTTTAAAGATGTGTCAAATTGTGGTTGAAGGATATTGTTTTGATCTTTTTTGAAGTTGAAACTGGTTTAAATCAAAAGCTTGGCAAACAGCCTCTTTTGTTCCTTTGATTTTGGCTTTATGCCTCTGAACATCTAGAATCAGAAAAAACAGGGTAAGTAATTTTACCCTATCATAAAGTGTTAAATAAATGATGTCCCCAAGGACATATACTTATTAGCAGACAATGGTTGGGAGATTAATTAATACGAGTTTCCTAAATTTGAGAAGTCTTTGAGTAGATCTGCAGCCCGTGTTAGACAAAGCTTTAAAATTTTTGTGAAGAGCTCATTTATATTAGGCATTCTGACTTTGTAGGACAAAAAAGAGAAACCACAATTGAGGAACACTTGTTTGAGTTTTAGAGTCTCTAAGCATGGGGAAAAAATCCTCATGTCTCAGAGTATGAGAGGGCATGAATAAGCCATTGGCATGAAAGAGATACCAGAACCTAGAGGAGCCAGAAGAACTGTCCCTACCATGGCCTGTGGGCATCAGATTTTGCAGTATATGAGGTGTTTCCTTTTCTCAAATTGGCCTTTGTATGTTGGACTTTTAAAAAGTAAATGTCGCTGGTTTTTCTGATAATGTATGTTAATGTAAAAATGTAACTCACGTTATGATAAGATAGTCTCATCTCTCCATTTTACAAATCAAGGATAGCCATATTATTTAATCTCCATTATTTTACTTCTCTATATATGTTTATGTTTTCTCTCACATGCACATCAGTTCTCTGTCTAGTGATATTCATTGACATCTTATTTGTGTTGGCCAAAAATGGGAAAATACCTAACCATCCATTAATAAAATGGTTATGAATTCTTGTGTATATATAATTGTGAAATGCAAATGATACTGAGAGACATTTAGCTTGTCTTCTCTTTTAAGCAGTTTGACTCCAAAATTATCAGAAATAGGTGTCTATTCTATTTTAAAGTATGCTAGAAAAAGTTCTTTCACACTCTTAAATTTATTGATTCAGATTTCTTCTCTGAGACCAGAATATTACATCACAACACTGAAAAATAAATATAAATAGGAAAAAGATTGGGAGGCATTACCCCAAAATACAGTGACTTAGAGGGACTAACACAAAAAGTGCTTTCTCTCTCCATCTTTATCCTTCTCTGTATTTTCTAATTTTTCTATATTGAATAGCTGTAAGTTCAATAATGGGAAAAATGAACTTTATTTGAAGAATAGAGTTGAGCACTTTTCTAATGTCTATCTTTGTGCCCATTGAGAGTCTGACTTCCATTTTCAAACAAGCATTGCTTTCAATAATGAAAATTTAAACATGAAACTCCTTGGTTTTTAATGTTACCCTGTTTATGGACATCAAACACTTTGTAGTGGGTTCATTGTCCACACCTTAATCCCCCTTCTGCTCTACAAAATGTAAATACTTTCTTCTGTCATATGTTCCATGAGTTGGCATTTCTGTTAAGTCTTGCATGTGGGATCTAGTAAATACTTATTTTTTTTAGTTATTTTTTTTATTTATAATATTTATTTAATGACACCTAAATATTTATTTAGTGACAAGTACAGCAATAAGAGTTGAGATATTTCCACAAATGTGGTTTGGCATTGGCTTTCATTCCTGTAATGAAACTGTCCAGTTTACACTTTTCTTTCAAAAACTTGAGCACAGCTAATCTCTATCTAGTATTTAATTTCCTGTTTGCCTGTTGCACAATCCTCTGGCATAAAAAAACATTCCAAGTTTTCTTTGGAATATGATGCGAATGTTTCTCTGGCAGGTTTTTATATTCATTTTGCACATACTCCCTTCCAGAGATACGGAGAATTGTGGTAATTACCCAGGTGATCCCTTTATTTTTCTAAAAAGGAATAAAATGAGATGGTACTAATTGCAATTCATTACGAGATGTTAGCTTTGCAAAACTATTGTTGTAAAGAAGAAAGCAAGCTTAGAAAATACTTTATCAGGAAAGCCTTCCGAAGAAGATGTGAAAAACATTACTAATTAAAATGTTCTATGAACAAACTTACTAACATATCTGAGCAAATAATACCTAGACAAAATCAGCAAGTTAATTTTATTTGATAGCTGATTTTGATTAGTAATCCTTACTAAACCCTGTTAGCTACACTAGTGCTTTGTTAAATTCCTGTCCTTAAAATCCTCATTTTAGGACATTTAAATAATGAAAGATTCTGTATGGAAAATAGTCTTCTACCAAAAAGTGGGACAAGTGTCTTAATGAGAAAGGCTCTGATGTGTTTGTTTCCTGTGTGTTTATATAATCACAAGACATAAATGGACATGAGAGGTATTTGGCTTATGCCCCTATTAAGCAGCTTGACTCCTAAACTATCATGAATAGACAACCACTATATTTTTAAATCAACCTAGAAAAGGTGTTTTCACACCACTATAATTTATTCATTCAAGTTTCTTTTGGGAAAAAAGACTAATCCAAAAGTAAATAATAAAAGGTGGGAGGTTGTTAATAAGCTTCACTAATTCAGTTTCTTCTGACTTGAAATTTATGATAATTAAAGAATTGGCTGCAATTTTATTTATTCTACTTAGAAAATGCATAAATGAGGCATTGGGGGAATATTTAAATTACACAAAAATAATTACTTAAGGGGCGCCTGGGTGGCTCAGTTGTTAGGCGTCTGCCTTCGGCTCAGGTCATGATCCCAGGGTCCTGGAATCGAGCCCCGCATCGGGCTCCCTGCTCTGTGGGAAGCCTGCTTCTCCCTCTTCCACTTCCCCTGCTTGTGTTCCCTCTCTCGCTGTGTCTCTCTCTGTCAAATAAATAAATAAAATCTTTAAAAAAATTATTATTTAAAACATGTTATTTTAAAGGAGTACTTTAGCAGTGGTAGTATCTAGAAGTATCTGGAATTTCCGCAATTATGAATGATTATTAAAATGTAATTAGTTTCTACTGTGCAGCAATTTTTATTTTGCTTTAAACTTTCTGTAATACATAGTGTTTATGAATTTGGTCCCTTTTCTAATGTAATTCCACATTTTGAGGTTTCACTTTATTTCTGGAATTAAAGAATACTGGAATAAACAAAGTACAATATTTTGGAGAAAAATTTAAATCCCAGATCAACATCACTAAGCTGAATCAGGCTATACATAAAGAATGCAGCTTCTTCTAGATTGTGCCTCTTAGGAAAAATGCTAAGGAAGAGTGTTTCGTTTTTTTTTCTCCTGCTATCAGCTGGTCACCTTGTTACCCCTTCCACTGTACTACAGGTCCAGCTAAAGATAATTGAAATGATCTTTGCTTCTGTTCCCCCAGGGTTCTTTGCTTCTACTCTAAATTGAATGTGGTCAGTAGGAGATGTAGTGGTTAGAAGAGGAAAATCAAGATAGGAAGACACAATTGATAATAATCAAATGGAGGCAGTAAACAAAGATGGCTTAACAATTAATAAATGTTTATTTTGGAAGAAAAATAATTGTTTTTAAATAATTAAAGCAAACTTAGCATAGCGTACTAATGAAAGCCAGTGGTTTTACTGCCAAAGTTTTATAGCACAAGAGAATGGATTGTGATGCATTCATACAGTGCAATACTAAATACTACACAGCCAGTAAGAAAGCAAACTACTAATACGCACAGCAACATGGACAAATCTTAAAAACATTATGTTGATTGAAAGAAATTAGGACCAAAAGATTTTATATGAAGTTTAATATCAGGCAAAGCTAATAGTTGATCATAGAAGTCAGCATAAAGGTTGCGTTGAGAGGGGTATATTCTTGGAAGGGGGACATAGGAACTGTACATGATGTTGGAAATGTTCTATATCTTGACCTTCGTGGATGGTTATGTGGGTGTATACCTATGTACACAATCATCACTTAAGATTGCATTTGTGTACTTTATACATGTGAACCCTCACTAAAAAAAAATGAATTTGATTACTATTATTAAGCATATACCATTTAAAAAAATAACTCAACTTAGTTTGTTAAAGTGAACCCAAATCAAAAGACCATCTTAAGGTTAAGATATAATAATAAATAAAGGCATTCTAATTTATTTTTGAAGATGTGCATCTTACATTTTACTGAATGAATATGTTATCCGGCTCCCTCTAATTTGGTAGCTGTTTAACAAATTGATGTTGTATGTGTTTTTCTTTCTACTAAAATTAAAGAAATAATTATTCTAAAATCTCAGTTCAGACAAAAATGAATCTCATTTTAAGGAGCATTTCCCCCATTTTACAATAATTTTATTTTCCAGGTGGTTTGGGAACATTCCATGCCTTTCTAAATACAGCTGTACATGTAGTCATGTATTCCTACTATGGGCTATCTGCACTGGGACCAGCCTTCCAGAAATATCTGTGGTGGAAAAAATATTTGACATCATTACAGCTTGTGAGTAATTAATTTTCTTTAAAACCAGATGTAAAACTAAACTGGAGTCATTTCTCTTCCATGTGAATCAGAATACTAACTAAAGAACAAAAGTTACAAAACAATAGGAATATAGAGTGTGTGGCCCCTATATTGCATCCCATCATTATCCTTTCCATGTTATTTATTTATTTATTTATTAAAGATTTTATTTATTTATTTGACAGAGAGAGACACAGCCAGAGAGGGAACACAAGCAGGGGGAGTGGGAGGGGGAGAAGCAGGCTTCCTGCCAAGCAGGGAGCCCGATGTGGGGCTCAATCCCAGGACCCCCAGGATCATGACCTGAGCTGAAGGCAGACGCTTAACGACTGAGCCACCCAGGCGCCCCTTTCCATGTTATTTAAACTCTTGTCAAGAACTGTGTTGAAAACAAAGTCTATTTGGTAGCCAAGAGCCTCAGACAGGTAAAGCAGAATGTGTATCTTTAGGCCATCTTTATAGTATTTTATGCTTTTCTATAAAATAAATATACTTATGATCAAGATAATATCAAATTTATTTGAACTGCAGCAGGCATAATATTAAATTAGAAGTTAGAAATTCCATATTCTAGATCTAAATGACTTTGAGGGAGGGAATGTAACTTTGAGGGCATTATGAGTCTTCCTCTATGCCTGCCTCTAAGTCTGTTTTTCCTCCAAATGGTAAACATACATGCGGATGAAAGAGGTAGGGGGACGGCATATTGTATATATTGACAGAATTGACAATGCTCTAAATAACCAAGTGTAAGGAAATAGTGAAATTATTTTGATTCCTACTTTGCAATATTATGAAATCAAGAAAATTATTCACAGTTGCCTTCTTTTTAAGTATTTTTTTCTAATTGTAAAGTAACATATGCTCATTGCCGAGAAATTAGAACATCTAATTAAGCAAAGAGAAAGAAAAATAAGCATAATTCCCCATATATGTGTATACCTGTTGCATGATTTGAATTATACTGCATAGACAATTTTGTATTGGGCTTTTTTCCCCCACTTGCCTACTCTTAAATGTTATAAAAGCTTTTTAACGATGTGGCAAAATACTAAAATAGAAGAAAGAATAGATATTTATTATCTCGAACATGCTGGTTATACGCAAACATGCCTGAGTCGGAAATTGAAGGTGTCACCGAGGCTTCCAAAGGTGTCATCTTTGTGTCTGTAAAATGAGAGAAATAAGGGTAGCTACTGCACAGGGATGTCATAGAAGTTTCTTAAGATAATGCAAGGAAAGTTGAGGATGATCATAAAAGAAACTGTGAAAAGCTTAACTATGGTTATAACTAGAAGATTATAGGTAATTGTTATTTATTTTTATTTATGGAATTTTACTTGTCTAACATTCCCACAGAGCACATGTTGCCTTTTAATCAGGAGAAGAAAGATATGCAAAAAATCTGGACATTAGCCTGGGAAGTGTTCCTCTTAAGACTGGGTAGAATGTGCTGGAACAAAGAGGCTTTGGCCATTACAAGGAAGGTCATCAATACTGTTTTACTCCTTACAGATTCTCTGCTGCCATTGGCAGGATAGATTTTTACCCTGATATAACTGTGGGTGACAAGTGGCAGATACCAGGACTCAGGCTTGCTTTGTCTCCTACAGAATTGCTGGGACTCTAATTAAAATGTTTGTATTTCCCCAAAATTGAAATACTTTGTCTAACAACAAGACAGAATATTTGAAACTAAAAGTCTTCTAGAAAATGAGGCCATAAGATAGTGGTCCCATGTGTATTTCATCAAGTCAAGGACTCAAGACAGAGACTTACCAAGCAAGAAAACTTGCTCTGATGGTTCTTTCTCTGGGTACGAAAGGCCTGCTGCCCCGCACAGCTCCCGGGCCATTTATGAAGGGCTGCTGGAGTTGTACAGTTGGGCAGGACTGAACAGTGGATTTTGACACTGTCCCACCCACTCTCACACCCATGGAGGCTAGATTTAAAGATAAAATTCCCTACCCAACAGTAGCCTAGATGTGGTTGCAGAGTGTTTAAGCATAAGCAGCCAAAGAATGCATTAAATGATTGCTCCTTTGTGACTTCATATCTGAATAATATTTTTCATTCTTTCATCTGTTAGGCCCAGTTCATTATTGTCACCATCCACATAGGCCAGTTCTTTTTCATGGAAGATTGCAAGTACCAGTTTCCAGTCTTTCTGTACATCATTATGAGTTATGGGTGCATCTTTCTGCTGCTCTTTCTCCATTTTTGGTACCGTGCTTACACCAAAGGCCAGAGACTGCCCAAAACTGTGAAAAATGGAATCTGCAAAAACAAAGATCACTGAAATGCAAGCACGACATGAATCTATGAATGAGACTGGTATCTTACTTTCTTTGACAATCAAGAGCTATTTCCATGTGAAGTGCATTTTGTATATTTTTCAAAACCAAGAGCTTGTATTTTTATGATAAGTTACTGGAGTTTCTGATATCTGAGAGCCCAAAGATCCCAGATAACAGAGTCTAATTGGAGCCTAAAGCAGGCAGTTTTTCAGCTGCTTTTAAACCTAATATAAAGGTTTTATTTAATACATTTTGTTATAGTGAAAGAAGAATATGAAACAGTATAGTACTTTTCAAAGAAGTCCAGTATAGATGAAAAAATATCATCAGATATTTTGACCATGGACAGAGATCCATGCCCTACTATAGATTCCTTCTGCCAGCTCTGAAAACCTCAAACTGAGGGTTTTGGCTTTGTTGCTTGTTGATTATATTCAGAAGACACTATATTTATTCTAAAGTTAAATGCCCATTCTAAAGAGCTAACACTGGTGAACATTAAGTGAATTTTTGATAAGTTGTCATTTAACATCACTAACAAAAATTGTTAATGGATCTCTTGTGTAGCCACCACCAGCTTTACTGATAAGACTTCCCTACAACATTTTTGTTGTATATGCTGTTTAAAAGTAACAATTCTTTTGGTTAGTACATTCATGCACTTGACACTAAGTTTAAGTTAATATTTTGAAAACAAGATGATTTGTTCTGTGGCTTAACAAGCACTGTGCTATTACTACTTTGTAGTTAACTTTGTAGATTTCTGGAAAGAGGTGAAATTTGTCACTGGAAAAAGTACTCTGTAGTTCAGTGGGAAAAATCTGTTGTCTGTTGTATTGTAATGTCACTTTCTCATATTGTCGTGGCTTAAAGGATTATCTTGTTAAATATGTATTGGTTAGATATATAAATGTTCATGCAAGTACCTTTAAATCATAAATGATTTCAGACCTCTCATTATACACAGTTTCCAGAGATGGCTTAGAGTCATTTGTGAAGCAACTGGAGGAAAATGGTGGCACAGAAATTATCCAGAGACTGTTGGGTTTTGTAGGGGTCTCTTAACAAAGAGAGAAAGAGAGAGCCTATTTAATAGTTGTTATAGATACACTGCATGGAAAGACATTTCCCAGAATTATGAATTAATTAAATAATTAATAGCCTGGATTTCTTTTTTTCAAACCTATAAACTATATAATGAAGACCTGAAATTCATTTTGCCTACTTTTGTTTTTTCACAATTACTGCTTTCTGAAATTCTCTTGTTCTCACATTTTCTTGTTGGCTAACCAAAACTACTGGTCAATAGAGTTTTGTCCCAGAAACAATGATATTTGGACATTTCTGAATTTTTCCCTATTGCTTTTCTTTCTTGTTATATTTATACTTGATTTTGAAGGACTGCTTATGCTTATATGACTTTAAACAATCAGTACTTATGGGTCTCAGTTATGTAACGCACAGTGATAACATTGTCCATCAGAGCCTGAGTTTTTCCTCACTGTAAACTCCTGTAGTTCGATGTGTCACCCCAGGCATTTAATCTATACCATGGCCTTTTCTCTCACACTTATCAGATTTATAATGTTACTTGCCTTTAAGTGACCTTTACTGATTTCACTTGCTTACAAATGGAAGACAAGATTTGATAAATGGGGGAAATATCTTATTTTTCTCAAATAAAAAAAAAAGCAGAAAGCAGAGCTAAAAGAACAGCAGTTATAATTTATTTCTCTGAGGACCTCAGCGTTCCTAAACTGTTTTCCGGTTTTGGCTCTTCACATCCAACCTGCACTAAAATGAGACTGTGTAGTGTGTGCTGTTACACAGTGCACAAAATTCCTGAAGACCCAAGAAAGGTAAAGACCAAAAGGAAGCACAAAGAGAAGAAGATGAAACAGGAGAGTTTGGTTTTTGCAATACTTTCTGTATTGCACTGTACAACCTCTCCTAACCTCACTGTAGTCTTTAAAATGTCTGACTTGCCTATGAACTCACAGCAGCGTGTGATGGAACTATGTTCTAAATTATGTGAATAGAAGTGGAGAGCTGGAATGTTATGTGAAAAGAAATCACAGCTAACAAAAGTATCCTCCGTATGAACATCATTAGATCAAAATGCATATCACTGGATGTAGGATGTGCATGGACAGTATTTTATTAAAGGGCTCTGTGGGTCACATAGAGTTTCTATTGGGGTTTCATCCACTTTTCAGGACTTTATTGCCTTTGGGTCTGCTTACCTAACAAATAAAGAGACCAGTTATAAAATCTGGATTATGACATGAAGTTCTATGAATCCTTGAAAACCAATGTCTACTGTAAAATACAAATACAAAATTTTAAGTCTCTATGGGACATTGCCAGTTTACAGTCTTAATTGAGTTGAATTCTTAATTGAATGGACTACATTGTTACCTAAATTATAAAATTATGAGTTTATGTTTCCTCGATTATCTTATTTCTGTTAAATTTTTAAAGACTATGCAAAACTGTGAATATTGTCAAAGTCTGTGTGTGTGTGTGTTTGTGTGTGTGTGTATTATAATAAATTTGTGGTAGTGTGGGTGTATGTGTGTCTTTTATTTTGGAATATAACTGCATATGTGTGCATGTGTAGGTGGTTTTAATCCTGAATACCCATTTAACCAAAGCATTTTACACATTTGTTGCACACTTGGTATATTCAGAGCCCCTGCTAGATATTAGAGTGATACGAAGATGCCTCGGACATAGTTGGGGCCTCCTGAAACTTACAGACTGACAGAGGAAGCTACATAATAGGGCAGCTAGGTGCCATATGTGTGAAAGTTCTGTCACTTAGAAAGCAGGGAAGGCTTTATGAAGGAATTAGAACTTGTGTGTTTAAGATGTACGGAACTTCAAAATAGGTGGTGGGTTAGTGGGCAAGGTACTGTTAAGTGAAAAGAAATAACAAATCAAGGTCTAGGGAAAGGAAGGAATGGCCAGTAAACCAAATTAGAGCAAGGTTTCCTGCATTTGATACAGAGAGATGAGACCAGAAGGGGAGGTGGGCTCAGACCTTGGAGGCACTTGGCTGTGGTATCTGGGCTTGATTCTCCAGGAAATTGAGAGCATTAAATGGTTTTTAAGAGAAGTGAGGTTTGATCTAAGCAGTACCTTAAGAGTCATCTGGTGGGGTGGATTGGGGTGGATTAGGGTGGTGGCTTTAGACACTAACAGCAGAGCTAAATTGGTTAATTAAGGATGATGGAGGAGAGCCAGCATGTGTGCCTAGAAAGAAAGGGGGATGTGAACACTTCTGAAGGGAGAGTCTCATCTAGACCAACCATGGATGGGATGGCTAGCAGCATCCAAGGAAATGGTGGGGTGGTGTGGAAAGTGGGCTGAATCTAAAGCCATGAGGCATGGATGTTAGATGCCAGGTGACCTTGGACAAGCCAGTTAACCTCTCTCAGCTTCTGTTTCTAAATCTATAAAATGAGAACAATAGTATAAGTTTTCCTTGCTGGATTGTTCAGTGGCTTAAATGAAATAATGTATTTTCAAAGCCTTTTGTAGTAATTGGTAAAAATATGAACATATGCACAGAGAAAATAGACTCAGCAGATTTAAATGGGGAGGAAAAGAAGGTGAGTCCCTAGCTCAAAAGAGAACAAAGTTTATGGTTCTCTCTAGGTGGGGTAAGGTATGTGATGATTGTAGAGCAGATGGGATAAATGGATTGAGGGAAATTTTTTTTTCTTTTAAAGAAGCAGCATAAACGTGTTTATTTTAGGAATGACTTGACAAGTGAAAAAGTTATATAAACTGGAAAATGGATGTGCTTAGAGATAAACACAGATTTCAAATATTTCCCAGCCTCTAGCAGAGCCCCGTTGAGGCTGGAGACCATACGTTTGTAGTAGTCCCAATTTGCATAATTTTGTTAGGCCCATAATGTGGGCATGGAGAAGACTTGCACTGACCAAGGTGGGGATTTGCAAGGAAGATGCAGCAGGACAAGGGAGGACGTTGACAATGCCAGCAAGACTGGATGCAGTGATGCATTATGGGAGCTGAGACTGAGACTCTCAAAGGACAATGGTGCTTACTAAGCTCCTTATATGTCTCATGCAATAAGATCCTCACAATATCCCTACAAGGTAGATACAATGAGGTAGCTACAGATAAGGAAATTGATGCTTATACCATTTACATAAATTTTGACCAAGATCAGGAAGTTATTAGCTGTTAGAGCTGGGTGTCAAACCAACTTTCTTTGATTTCAAAGCTCTTACTCTTAACCATCGTGCTATACTGCCAAGAAAGGTTGATGGAACAAGGGAGTAAACTGATTTGTAAGTTTAACTAAGATTGATGAAAACCTAAAAATAACAGTTACTTAAGATAGAAGTTCTTATATAAGGTTCCAGAGGTACGCAGTCAGAGTTGGGTCAGTTGTACTATAGTATCAGAGACCCAGGGATTTTGCCTCGCAGTTCCCCCATATGTGGCTTCCATTCCCATAGTCACCTCATGATCCAAAATGGATGTTGGAACTCCAGCCATTAATACACCTTTCAGTCAGTATGAAGGAGGAAGAGGGTAAGAAGGACCTATTCTCTCCTTTAAGGACCTATAACAAAAGTGATACATCACTGGCCAGAATTTAGTCATATGGGTCACATGTAGCAGAAGGAAATCGGGGAAGTATACTTTATCCTAGGTGACTCTCAAGCTAAAGTCAGGAATTCTATGACTCTGGAAGGAGGTGAATGGGAATAGAGGGCTGTAGTCTGGTCAGCAATTCGAAGTGTAGAGGTAGTACTCTATGGCTCTGTAAGTGAGTGGCTGATGAGGAAGTGTATGATGGTTATTGGAATTGAACAGATGAAGTGTTAGGCATGGTGTTGGATGGAATGTCCACATGAATGTGGAAGAGCCTCAGTGATGGAGAGTCTTGGAATGAAGATGAGCTAGATGATAAAGGACTCTGAATATGGGTATATCTCCAAGAAGACAGTGGATGATGATAATGAGAAGAGCAATGTGACACAAGCCTCAAAATCTGGGATTGTGCATGAATGGAGTTCTTTTTTAAAAATAAACCTAATTTTAGAATAGTTCAGATTTACAGAAAAATTATGAAGTTAGTGCAGAGAATTGCCAATATGCATACCCAGTTTCCCTATTACTAACATCTTACATAAATACATACATTTATTACAATTAGTGTGCCAATGTTGATACTTTATTATTAACTAAAGTCCATACTTAATTCAGATTTCCTCAGTTTCTACCTAATGTTCTTTTTCTGTTCCAGGATTCCATCCATCAGGATGCCACTATATTTAGTTGTCCTGTGTCCTTAAGCTCATTTTGGCTGTCATGGTTTCTCAGACTTTCCTTTTTTTTTAAAGATTTACTTATTCTAGAGAGAGTGAGGGAGAGAGGGGGAAGGGGCAGAGGAAGAGGGAAAGAAAGATCTTAATTAGGCTCCATGTCCAGGGGGGAGTCCAAAGTGGGGCTCCATCTTAGAATCCTGAGATCATGACCCGAGCTGAAATCAAAGAGTCAGACACTCGCCGACTGAGCCACCCAGCTGCCCCAGGCTTTTCTTATTTTTGATGACCTTGACAGTTTTGGGGAATACTGCTCAAGTATTTTGTAGAATGTCCCTCAATTGGAATTTATCTAATGTTTTTCTCATGATTAGACAGCGGTTATTAGTTTTTAGGAGGAAGACAGTAGAGGTAAACTATCATTCTTATATCAAGGGTATATACTATTATTATGACTTTTCACTGTTGATATTAACCTGGATCACCTG